GGAGTTTTAAAGCAGCGGCTGTTAACGGTTGTCAAAACTTTAAACTTCTAAGTAAACTCGTTCTCGTTAATAACAGATTAGTAGTCATTACTGTGGCACAAACACAAACCCCTAACCCTTTTTTCTTTTTTCCACTGTCGGCACATTTGTGACAGGTATTTAAAACTGTAAGTCAGGCCCATCTGATAACAGTTCAACACAAGACTTGAATCAACACTCATTTTAATCCAGTAAATTGTTGTGTGGAAAAAGAAAAAACAAACTTCATCAGATAGTGGTACATTGATATTGGAGGATTGGGGAGGCAGAAGAAAGGGGGTGAAAAGTGCAAGAGCAGGAGAGAGAAAGAGAAAGAGAGAGAGAGAGAGAGAGAGAGATGTCTTTTCAGATGGTAATCACATGGTTTCTGAACTTCCCTGGCATCTACAGCAGGAAAACTGTTTTCTTTGGCAAACGTGGAGCATGTCTGTCACTCTCTCTACGGAGAACCCACTCTGCGTTCATGTACACGCCCCGTTCTCCCTCCCACTTCTCTTATTTCCAAACCCAAACGCCCTCCTTCCACCACAAACACAAACATATTGTGCAAAAAAGGGGGTGAGAGCAGTTTACGGTGCACCAAAAAGGTAGGACAGGTCGTAAAAGGAGGGAAACAAACAGCAGGATTGGTGAAACAGGCAGATCACTGAGCTACAACACTCTATCAAAAGACAAACATTAATGTGGACCATCCCTGTGGGTCTTCAGCTCTGTGTGAATTGGCTGCTGCTCTAGGCTCAGTGCAGAAAACTTGGCCTGTGTCAACAGTTAAAAGCAAAAAAAATAGATTAAAGGTTCTCAGAAACAGTCTTGTTTTGGCAACAGACTGACTCTTAAAGTTTGTCCTACTTACTCAAAGCCAGTTTCTTTGCTTCAACTCAGAGCGGCAAGAAATGTTGATCAGTTATAATAAATCGAAAAATAGATTGAATTATTGCGTCTGGCCCTGAAATATATATTTGAAACAGGAACAAGGGAGCTGTCACGTAGGTCCCAGACAGCATGAGTAAACTTTGTTCATGGAAGATAGGGAGTAACTTGACCTCCCCGCTCTGTCGTTTTAGGGGGGGATTGGTTTTAATAAGATGAACTTTTTTTTTCTCTCCTCCATTCTTTTGATTTTCCCCTTTAACTAAAACTTATACTTCACTTCCCCTGTTAGCAATTAGTCTCCACAAGCCTATTTGTCAAAAGCCAAACCATCGGTTCCCACTCTTCTACCCCCGCCAGCTCTTGTTACAATTGACTGTTTCCTGCATAGAAAACAGCAGGCAGCTGACTGGGACCACAGTCGGACAGTGTCAGGAGTTTTGACTGTAGGCAGAACCAGAACCAGACAATAACCATCACATCAACAAAAACAGAGGAAAAAATGCTGTAGCCAGCAGCAGCAGCTGCCTCCATGTGTTTAGACACAGCACATTTTTTAAATGTTTTATAGAGGGAACCATTTCTTTGGACGTTTGGGAGTTGGGGGGACGGGAGGGAGTTGGGGGGTGGCCATTTCAGAAAATAGGTCAATCATTCAGTGACATTTATCGATTTTTTTTTTGCAGGAGATCTGGAGAATTGCAGCTGTAGTCAATGTGCTGTAAACAAATAAGATGAAGAAGAAGAGGGAAAAGTGCTCAATAAAGTAATGGCAGGTGGAGGGGCTGACAAAGCCGTGATATGTAGCAACATAAACCCCCCCTCCCCAGGTCCAACATATATATACAGCGCGCTGTCATTTTTTTACTCTATTTTCGCGGTGATTGCACAGGCGTTGGGCGACTTCAGAGGCTCCCAGTGAGGTAGGAAATCCATTGTATGTGGGTTACAGGGGAGCTGGAGAGCCATCAAACAGCCAGACATATTCCTGTTAAATCACCGGCAGAGAGGGAACTTTTCAGAGTGCAATTAACAACCTCAAGGTCAGACTTCTCTGGAGAGTTATCTCTGAAGGAAAAATTCCTCGGGCGTTTTCTCCCTCCTCTATTTTACTGGTACCCTCACAAGTGCACACGCTCACATGTGCTCTCTCCATCTCATTTCCCTTCACTCCGGGTTACTGGCTCTCCACCATCCCTCCCAGCGGCCTGGCTCTCTTCTTCAAACCCCCCCCTCCCCCCCACCGGCCTGGCTCTCCTCTTCAAACCCCCCCCCCGTCACCATTAAAGATAAACCTTATATTGTGGTCAGCGGTGACACCGTTTCTTCACCAGTGCCAGAGCAGGGATGAAAACTGGTCACAGGTGTGCAGAGGATAAGAGCCATGGATCTTAATCTTCAGGCAATATTGGTTGCTGTGCCATGAAGAGGTCAGAGCAGCCATATCTGAGGAAGGAGCTTCTCCTGCTTCTGCCTGCCTTTGAGGTGTGGCAGGAACGAACTCGCACCGTTTTTTGTTGTGCAATGACAATTTATGAATTAAGCTGAAATGGATTTCTTTTTTCTTTTTGTCTGGTTTTACAGTAAGATTGATTTAGCACTTGACAGACTCAACAGATCTCTGTGTTTGAGGGGACGGTGCTTTTAAGTGCTACACAGAATAATTAGATGTCAAGTGTAAACTGTTGAATACATAATTGGGGGACTTTGCATTAACACAAGGAAAACCCCAAGTCATAGAAGGATTGAAGTGGGTGAAAAACCCTGAAAGACTAGGTGACTGTGGGTCAGGAGTAAGGAGCTTTCAGTTAGTAAATACGGAGCATGTGACAGATCTGTGGTTATACGTGGATTACAGCACGTAACTTGATGGATCGTGGATCCCGTAACTTGATGTCATTTCGTGTGAAGTGAACAGGAAATACAGTCATCTTTGGTGACTAACCATTGCTCAAAGGAAAGGCACCCAATGATGGAACACTTTATTCAGAGCAAGACAGGCCAAGACAACACTGCCGTGTGCTGGTTTCCTGCAGTACGTGCCGTTGCACACAACCACACCATGACAAAAAACTTCATTACAACTTAGTTAGATAAAAGCAGGCCAGGTTGAGATATTGACAAAGGCTGAGCCTGACCTTTAATGATAATCATGTGTCTCTTTGGAAAACACTTGCAAAAAACTAGCAAAAAGAGAACGTATTAATAAAGGGTAACATCTCTGCAGTCACATAGTACATACAGTATTGTCTCACTGTATCAGAGTACAGTAACAGTTGTCCCTACACTGACACAACAACCTCAACCCATGTTTAAGCCCTTTTTTTAATCAATAAGCTATTTCACAATAACTACATAAACATCAATAGAATTCCAATTCCTATGCAAGGAAGTAACTATCATGGGGCATCCTGTGTCCAATCCATGTTGATAGACGTAATATAACAGAAGAACTCTCCTCTAATGGCAAGAGGAAAACAATCAAACCTATCACACACTAAAGCAAATAACTATTAAAGTGTCAAATTACTGTTGGATGAAAACAGCACATGGAGATAAAGCTGCTTAAATGGATCAACTTTACTGTACGTCTCATCGACGTGTCATCGATTGGACACATCCAGCATGCGGAGACGAGTGAGGTTCAATAACAAGGTAGGCTTTCACAATTAACAGAAAACGATTGCAGTATCATATTGTTTTAACTGGCACTGCACTGCTGTGCATTCAGCCCTGTTAAAGTCTAACTGCTGTTTGGCCAAGGCCTTGTTTGTTAATTATGGCAAAATGTGTGTGTGTGTGTGTGTGTGTGTGTGTGTGTCACTGACACAAATGTGTCATCTCATAAACAGGGCTGAGTTTATATTGGCAGACTTCCCATTTTTACATGTGACAAAGCCAGTTCTGCAGGCCAACAGTGGGACCATGTCTACAGTCACATATGCACTGCTGCTGTATACACATCCACTCTGCACACGTACACAAAAGGCAACGGTTCAATGCACTCAGGTGTATAGGCTTGGTTAAGACGTCCTGATTAGGTAAAAAACAAAACCAACTATTAGAACGGAGGTTAAACCTATGACATGGTTCTTGAGGCCAGACCGGCTCATTTAAGTCATTCAGAACTTGTTGATCCTCTGGTTAGACCACGGTCCAAAAGGGAGTAATTATAAAATTAATCTAATTTCTCTGAGCCAGAACATCTTGTTGATGCCAGAGGATGCTGTACAGCAGCAGAACACCAGACTGGATGTCACTCCTGTCAGAACTATAAAAAGTGAGGCTACAGTATAATCCTAACAAAAACAACTAAATGGACAACTGAAGATTGGGAAGACAATTCCTGCTCACATGAGTCTCCGTTCCTGCTATGACCTTTGGATGCAGAAGTTAAAGGTCAGATCGCAGTCAGATAAATCACATTGGGGATTCAGATCAACATTAGGTTTGCTTCATGAGCTCTAACGATGATCAATCTGCAGCACAAGTATGAAGCCATCAGGTCAGTATGAAATATAATCTCTAAATATAAAAAGGAAGTGAGGCAGCTCTGAGTCAGGCCCAGTTCTGTCCGGGCGTCCCTCGTGAAGGGGCCTTGACTGTGTACTGTATTTTCAATCATTTATGGTTGTCATCAGCATATCATGCAGAAACTAATATACTTTTAATCCCCTGTCTGGTATAGTCGATTTGAAAAAAATAATAAATAACCCAAGCCTAAAAATGCTGAAATGATGTTTGCAGACTGTAATTTCTGGACTAATCCCATGCTGTTGCCTCAGCTTTCTGGAGCAATTATGGTTATGGTTAAATTACAAGCCCCCGGTGGTTATCCCAAAATTGTAGAAGCGGTGCAGAACGGACTGCGGGCCATGAGGGTCAATTAACGTGGTAAATCGCACCAGTGACCGTCGTGTATGTGTTTCCTGCTCCACGGCGAGGACACAATGGACTTATAATTACTGTGGACTTTTATCCAAAACACGCACTGGAACAAAAGTGGTTCATGTTTTAAGGGGGGGGTAGGAGGGGCAGGAGGGGCTATTACTGCTTCGTGTTTCATCTTGCACACACAAACACTGACTGACCTGGCATGAGGCACATCGATGCTGGATGAGACCACTTTGCGTTTCTGCTCCAGCAGGGACACTGATCGGGTGTCGGGGTCTCTGCCAATGCGTTTGCAGTCTGCCATCCTCTGCTCCTCCAAGGCCTCCGGGCTCAGGGAGCCACCGTTCATCTTGTGGCCCTCTAGTGCTCCGTTGCTGGAACTCTGCTGCAGTAGGATATAAAAAGAAATGGAGGTCAAATGTTTGGATGTAGAAACATTACGAAAGAATACAAATGTGAAACCACAATGAGCCGAGAATAATTACCAAAAGTTATGCAGAAACAAAAATAATGGTCCCTTACATTTCAGTTGCAGATGGAAAAAAAGTAAGATTAAAAATTTCATGCAATCAAAATATAAAATACATGGAAATGTGCACAGGAGAACACTCACAAAGCAGAAGTCGTTTTTTCCCCTCTCCAACACAACACTAGTCAGAGACAGTCAGTTTTTCTTGATACATTGTAAATGAAAGTCTGTGGTCCACTGTGGTTCACAGAAATCTCGTCTCTTGTTTTAAAAAAAAAAAACAAAACTTTTTCCATAGCAGAAGGTTCAAAACTGCTCTGTGGTCAGTTATAAAATTAGCACATTGACCATGTGGTATGCCTGTGTTAACAGGAAGAGGACTGTTAACTCTGCACTTGTTTGTTTAGTGGCAGAACAAAACAAGCAGAACAAGTAACAGCTTCGGCAAAACTCAGAGCAGAAACAAGGACGCACACTCTAAAAAATTAAGAAAAAAAAAAGCCCGTGAGTCCTACTCCATTTTGTATTATCAAGTGAGGGTCAAAAGGACTGTGTGATATAATCTGGTCAGAAAAGTGACAGGCTGTGGTTCTTATCTACCTCTTTAGCATAGATATTAAGATGTCAACACTGCACCATTAATGTGGTGCTGTGGTTCAAACACCACAGGCCCAAAAGTAGTTTAAAGCTAACCTTTTGCTGAATCTTTCAAATGTCTGACAAATGACAGACAAATATTTTACAAAAAAAAAATAAAACTACTACATAGCATAAGACAAGTTGTGTTGTGTTGTGTTTCCCACTGCAGCCTATCTGCACATTTTCCATGCAGGCCTTGCAACAGTAAATGATACAGGAGTAATAAAAGCCTGCTCTCCTAAAAAGTTCAAGGGCACATTTGTGTATTTCAAGGAGATTTCTAAGCCTGGCATGAAGTTGAAATTGAAGTAGGGGAAGTACCAGCGGCTCCCGAGGCCTTCCTGATTCAAACCTCTGTGGTGAGACGGTCGATCCCCGAAATACACACACAACACAACCCTGCTGCCCTGAAAACCACAGTTTGACACACTAACATACAGGATGGCACAACACCAGAAAACATGGGTTCAACAGTCAACTTTATTTATTGAACCAATGATTATAGGAGAGAAACACTCTCTTCATCAAACCGTTCTGAAAACTCCTACCTGTACTGTAACTTTTTTTCTTATGCAACTGCAAAAAAACTGCATACATGAAACCCTGCATGCACCTACGCACACGCCAACACTTTTTCACCCATATACAAAAACTCAGAGCAGACGAGTATGACATACAGGCCAGTCGGAGTTATACTGTGGATTATTATCTTACTCTAAGCACTGTAGCACAATTAGCACAGATGGTGGAAAACAGTCAGTTAATCAAATACACACATAAACACCAGAAAAAAAAAACAATTCACTTAGATTGATGAGGTAAAAAAAAAAGCCATATCGAGTATCATTTATGAGAGAGGCATGTTCCAGGGACGCTCAGTGGTGCACTGTGAAAACACAGGCTTCAGTATAACAACAAGATGGATTGCACCAGCTCAGAGAAGATTAGGTGTTGTGTTGGGTGCAGGAGGATAAAAAAAAGAAACAACAACAACAACAACGGCAGCAATACCTCCTCCTGTTGGTCTGTTTTATGAATAATGACATTTCAGGCGGTCAGGATATTGTGAAGCATGCCAAATTGGTTGTAAAATATGAGCCGCCTGCTTCGACGCTGGTGCACGAGCACGCCCGTTTGGTTGTGTGTACACGTGCACAGCACTAACTGATTCTCTGCCTCGTCCTCTTCATCTCACAGAAACTCATAATCTATCTGCTTTGGGCAGCAGTTCGTCAAGCGTAGAGATTCCACTTACATTTGCAGGTCAAAGGTCATCATAAAGGAGGCAGACACGGGCCATATATTGAATACCATGGATCAAATGTCATAAAATCCCAACAGACTGCGTCTTTCACTTGAAATGGATCTTTGTCAGGAAGAAAGCACTTTTACTGCAGCATCTCATGGAAGTGATTACAATTAGAGGTTTTAATGGTTATTGATGCTCCAGCCAACAGTCCATCCACAAAGAGTGCAATATCTCACAACAATCACATTTCAGTTAAGCCGTTACTGGCTATAAAATTAAAATGTAACGTTCAACAGTCGATACACATCCAGAAACTGTTGTCTTTAACTCAAACTAATTTAAACTGATTTTATGTATGTCGATAATATTTTAATTATTTAATATAAATGGGGCCAGATGGTGGCACGTAGGTTCTAGAAGATAACCGGTGTGAGCAGTCTAGACCCATCAACAGAACAGATAGTTGTAGCTTACCAGACAGTTTGCTGACTCTACTGCTCTCATTTTGCTTTTGGCACAACCCCTATCCACAAGCTTACATTTTCTCTACACAAGCAACCTGAGAATCCCTTTAGGTGAACAAATACGACACCAATCTTAGGCTTATGAGTGTCACTGAATCCAAATTACAGTTGTGTCCACCAGAGCGTTGCCAGCTGACTATTAATATCTGTGTTCATGTACATAAAACACAGCACCGCCTATCTGTGTGAGTGCAGCAGACACCGGAACAGAAACAAATAATAAGGCAATTACCAAACAAAATGAAACAAAGTTTCAGGTAGAACTTTCCCTGGGTGCGTGCCATTTACTTCACGGGTTTATTTTTGATATGTGTGATTAATTTGTATAATCTGTCAATAATGACAGCTTTAGGTTTGTCTTGGTAAAGGGTGTGGAAGAAATGAACAAAAGTTTCTTTTAAAGCCATTTTGAAGAATTGGCTATGTGGAGTTAGCTACATTCCAATAGTAGCTTCATAACACTGGTTCCAAAGAGGATTTATAAAACCTTTGTTGTGTGAGTGACTTATTCCCTAATTTATTTTTTGTGGCATTGTTTTTTAGTTTGACACTTTTGGGATCTCTATTTTTCTTTTTTACGTTGTTACTCTTTTGCAACAAAGAAATGTTCTAACCCTCATGGTAATTGCGACGTGTGAATGGACCCTGTCCGTTGTTTGGCAAGTTGCATGAGATTTTGTCTTCCCTATTCTTGCATTTTCCTGCGTCAGGGGAAACAGTGTCCTTCGAGCTTATCCTGAACTCCAGGATGTTTCGAGTCAGACTCCAGGTTACACTGAGGTTACCAAAGGCCTGGAGCCCTAATAATATAATAACACTGCAGAAGAAACAGATATTATCCCCAATTTGTGCAGCTCTTACTGTGGAATTGAAAAAAGGGAAGTTATCTGCAGAGAGAATTACAAAATCCAGATTTTTTTTTTAAAGTACACACTTTATTTGCAGAAGTAAAATAAAAAAAGGATCCAGACTTCAAGTGTGCCTTCAGCTGCACTCACATCATTGCAAACGCAATGGTCTTCAGATGTGACCCTGTGTTCTATGCCGATGCTGCTCAGTCGACCAATAAGCCAACAAGCGACACCGGCCTGCCTGGGATCAACACTCCAGAACAAAGAGTCACTCAGCTCTCCGTCGAAAAGCTTGTTTCATTGACTCCCACATCAACGTACAATCAACATAAACAACGGCAGGGACAACAAAAGCTGCGGCTTCACAAAAACAACTACTGTGTCTTTGTAGCGAGCAGCAAGGAATCTGTGCTACAATGTTCACAACAACACAGAGTCGCATAAATCAACAAGTCAACAAGTGGCATCCTGATGCCCTCCCTCTTTCCTTCCCCTCCAGTCCAGAATGGTGGCATTCGCTTGCCATACCGGGCAGTGAGCCAAGCACCCTGCTTCTTTAGAACATGCCACCCATTGCCAACCTGGGGGGTGCCTGCTTTGTTGGCTGCACAGCTGCAACTCAAACAGGACAGAATGCCCTCACAAACAACCCCCACTCCAAGATATTAAGTAGTCGGCTCTCACCAGTTACACATAGAAAAGTATATGTGGGAGACGGTCACACACACGTACACACACAGCTATGCAGACAAAAAACAACATGAATGCACACAAGTCCTCACACACACACACGCGCGCGCACGCACGCGCACACACACTCGCCCCTCCTCCTCATTTTATGGCCAGTTTTCCTCCTCGGCAGGGGAATTGAGTTGTGCTGAAAGAGACTCGACCATTGTGCTGACAGGATCCTCAGCTGCACCACTCCAGCCTGCAGCACTGACCGCAACAATACTGTGCAACAGCTTTCTGTGAGTACAGCGGTGCATACAGAATACGTTCAAATGAGAAACCAGAGAGGCAAAGGCTCCCGCTGCATTTACCTGCCACTCCGCAGTGGCATTCCTCTTAATTAGAACATGACCTATTTGTGTTCAGAATCATTCAGTGCACACAAGTCCAACTTTGATTAGGGATTTACGCCCACTGTCCTGAAATTACAGCTTGGCTTCATTGTCTGTAGATGAACTCAAATTTCCCAAAAGGAAATGGTAACAGCTAGCGGCCGGACATTTCTAGGTTCAGCTCTAAAAGTGAGACATAAGGATATAAGTAACCTCATCAAAAACATTACCAAGAAACAAAAGCATGCACATGATCGCAAGGAGGAACAATACCACGCCAATAAATAAATCAGAGACCGTCAACAAGCCATTTTTTTTTTCTTCATTCGCAGGCATTCCTCAGTCCCTCCCACACTATAAAAAGGACAGGACGCAAACAGAAACACACCAGAAAGTGTTTTTATCCCAGAGCTGGATTCCTGCCTCCTCCTTCTCCTCCTCACACACTCTTTATCTGAAACAGTTTGACACCAAAAGCATACCAGATAAAAATGAAGGCAACTGGGTCAGAGCTGCTAATTAGGCCCATATCTGGACTCCAGGATTGGACGTTGTTTTTACAAAAATAAAAGCTGATGTTACAGAATATTTCTCAACTAGTGCGGACTAACCTTAAGGAGGTCATGGGTTAAATTCAGTCTTTTTTTCTGTTACACATGAAAGTTGTCTCTCTTTTTTTAACTGTTAAAATTTGTGCTACTACTGGTCTTTTTTTTAATAGAGAAAATGATTAAAGTCAACTCTGTCCATTGGTCAAGGAGTTCTGGACGTGAAATTTTCTCAAAGAAGTTGCCTAACAGAACTCTTCAACCTTGACCGTGACCTGGATGACTGAGAATCTTCATAGACATCTGTCCGTTGGAGAATCAGCCATTTTTTAAATAATATTACTCTCTCTTCTCTAAACTGTTGCTATTAAAAACGCCTCTTGTGGAGCTGTAAGGTATTGCATTAACAGTGGGGATGTACAAATAAACAAACCCAGACATAATGATCACAAACACTGGCATCAGGTCTTTTTAACACAACATGATGTCAATTTCAAATCAGTGACTGGACGATTAAGTTTTAAACACAATTTAAAATTGAGGAACCTTAATGATTTAACTTGTATTTACCTCTAAATGGGATCATACCCTACAAATTGGCATCAAATTCTACTAAAAAAGAAGTGAAGGGAGCCATAAGAAGAGGTAGCTAAAACTTGACCAAACTTGAAATAATTTTATTCTTATCCAGTTGACCATTTACAGTAGCTCTGTTATGCTGAAGTCTATGGGCTGAGGTCCACTTCCTGCATACAGTCCATGGTACAGTGTGTGCCCTGTTGTTTCCAGTTGATTAAAATGTCCAGCAGCATTTTATGGGAATGCAAATTCCATGTGCATATAAAAGGGTTGTGCACAAAATAATTTGTGACAAATGTCACGAGCTAATCACAATCGAATGTGCAGAAGTCTTTCAGTCCAACAGTCCAAAAAAGGGCTGCAGCCTACAGTTACACACACAAGAAGAGAAAGAGAGAGAGCAGCAGCAGCTGAGGTGTTTGTTTGCCTCGGCTCTCACCCACCCACTGGCTCACATAAACATTGCGCAGGCCTCTCTATCAAGCAAGCCCTTTGTCCCATTTAATCTGATGTCGACAAATGTCACCATGACAGTCCGTTATTTGATGCAATGTGCAACCAAATGTGTATAGCGACCATTGTACTATTTTCTCCTGCTTGCTTCAATCCGCCGACAGCAGCTGCAACTGCAGCGGCAGTTAAATCCGCTCTGTGCAGGAAGCGGTTTAACGCTGCAAAACACCGCACAACAAAAACAGTGGAAGCGCTGCCTGCCGGCCGGGGCGCTCTTCTGTACACGTACACAAACATACCAACCTTCAAGCTGGATTTGAGCGGTGCTTTGGCTGCAATGTGGTTGATGCCGGCGGCTATCTCTTCCTCGGAGAACTCCTTCAGACTGCCGTCCTGCATTAGCACCGTGTAGACGCTGCGCTTGTTGGCCGCCGACGCGTCTCTGTTTTCCTGCTTGACAGCCTGGACCACTCCTGTCACCGGAGCTCCGTCACCGGTCGGACTGGGCGCATAAACACGGCTGCCCAGAATGGACCGCTTCACCAAACGCCTCGTATGCATGTTTAACAAAGTGTGGCAGTATATAAAGGTCGCTTTTGAATCCTAACCGTCGAATTATAGCCGGTAAACAACGTCGAAGAAAGCACAAAACCGCAGCGGGTAGACTACGCGCTCTAAAAGCCCTGACAAAATGTTAGAAAGCGGCAACATACTCGGACACCTCCACACCGAGTCCCACATAAAAATGTAACGCGCTCAAAAGCACCAAAAACTATCGGAAAACCTTTGAATGAAAAGCTTACAAGGCGAAAAACGATTCATTCGATGCAAAACAACCTCCACATCCAACCGGCTACCTCTCTCCCTCCGTTCGACCTGTTTGTTTTCCCCACTGCTCCCTCCGAGCTTCAGGGACAGCGGGAAAACACGGCACCGTCACGCGACCAGGAAGCGAAACAACATTTGCACACGACTTGACAAATAACGGACGTCTGTACAAGAAAAAGATTAGAATGTTGAATGATGCAACTACAAACGTCGAAATAAATCCCTTCTCTCAAAACGGTATATCTTATCCTTAGTGTAAAGGTCGAAAAACGGGGAAAAATAAGGATCTTATCTGACTCCAGTTCCGGTTGCTCAAAATTCCAGTCCGTACTATGTTGAGACCGCACAGAGGCTCTACCGGCGGAATGCTGCCTGTAAACATGTGCGGTCCGGCGGCCCAGTCGGGCTGCGATTGGTCGGTAAAGCACACGCCTCCACAAGCCCCTACCGCTCCTCCTTCTCCCCCCGACTGAAGGTAATGCAAGCCGGGAGGATGCTCCATTCAAAACAATGACGCAAGGATGGAGAGGAAACCAGAAGGGAGGGGGGCAAGAAAGGGGGGGAGGGGAAGAAAAGGGGGAAGAAGAAGGAGAATTTGGGCTAAGGAGGAGGGAAAGTTCTGTCAGATAAACAAGCTTTTTGATACAACCTAGTTTTTGCAGACATATAACCTACTTTCCTGTGCCCAGAGTCTTTCAATTAACTAAAATCTTGTTTCTAAAAGGAAAGTTGTGGACTCAAGCACTCAGAGTTATGAATGAAAACACAGCCTGGATAATTTTGTGTTATTTCTTAAAAACAAAAACAAAGCTTCTGGTCAACGCAACCACACATACACACAAACACAATGGCCCAGCCCTGCATATTTGGCAAAGGACAAACAAATGGAATGAAAAGCTAGTTGAAGCAGGTCAGAAACACATGTGGCCAATATGCAAGAAGGATTACCTTAAAATACCTGTGTGAGCCTGAATAAAATAGGTAAGACTAGCACAACAAGGATAGACCGCACGATAAGTAACCATATTAGAAGAATTACGGTTGAGCAGCTTGAAGATACAAGTTAGACGAGAAAAGTTATATTGGTTTTGGCATTGATTTCACACTGAAGGAGACTTAAAGTAGGACTGATTAGTCCTGACAAGATCAGCAGTGTATAAATGTGGTATTGAAAGGAATATTTGTGAATTTACGAAAATGTTCAATATTAAAATGTGTAAAATCTGTAGAAGGCTGTAATACTTCTTTAAATAACATTTAAAAAGGAACATCAGCTTCTCTTTTATTCATTTATTAAAATATATCAATATATGTGTATATAATGTACTTTTTTCTTTTTCTGCCAACCCATTTTTCTGTCTGTGTTTATTTAGGTGTTGCACATTAAGCTGATTCTACTTTCAGAAGTCACATTGTGCACGCTGCTGATGCCCCACTGCAGTCAACACTGTCTGTTTCATGGCAGTGATCTCAGAGTCATGAGGCTACATATTTTTGTCCCTTTTTGTGCAACATCACACTCAGCGGTAGCTGAGCTGCATCCTGTTCTAAAAAAGAAAACCTGCGGTGTGATCACAAAGTGTGACACAGGTTTGCTGCACCCATGGGGAAAAGTATCATCTGACATCCTGCGTACAAAAAAAAAAGAAGAAAGTTCAGTCTGGTTTTAGCAATCACCGTGACTGTCAGCAGTGAATATGACAACGGATGTTATCACAGGAACAAATGGCCTAATTCAGGTCAAACTGAATTTTTTGGAAACTGGTGTGCGGCGTAGCCATCCCTCCTCATGACACTAGCACAGACAATAAATTGCAAAAAGTAAAACCCACACTCAAGGACACGGTTTATTATATATATTTTTTAATAGAACAATTCGTATCATAAAATATTTACATGCAGAGAATGGAGAGTGGACAGAGTGGAGTGACAGATGTGGCCATAACTGCCACTGGAGCCTCTGCCCTGTGATCTAAGGCCTATGTCAGCATAGAATCGTCTGCTTGTTGCGAGGGGGAAACGAATGGTGTCATTATGGGAGTAGTGGAGCCGGAGGAGCAGCCACACATCCTTAGGACACCCCCATGCCCTGGAGCAGGAATAAGCATGTGTGTGTGTGTATATTTATGACCAAGACAGACAGTGAGGGAGAACAAGTGGTTTTAGCTAAGTGTCTATTAACTATGTGTATGTGCTGTCCTGATTAGATTTGGCACTCCAACATCCCCCTCCTCTGCTGGATTATTTCTTCAGAGGTCATTTATAGCGCTTTGTGAACACCATTACATCTGAATGATGGCACCGCCCTGACAAATGGCCGTCCCTGTACAGTAGGTGGTAGGGAACAATGTGCTCAATGTGGTCATATATTCTTTGGAAGTAAACATAATACTGATAATTACCTCTTTGATGAAATAAACACATTTTCAAGGGATTAATTTAGCACACATGGCTAGAGAAAAAAAAAACGAACGCAAATATCCGATTTCATTTTGAATTACATTTCACTGCAGGACTTCTGTACAGGATCTTATTGTCCGAGATGAATCATTATTTTGTTGCTGATGGTTCTAATCTTAGACACTGTAATAGAAACTGGTGCAGCCAAGTGACAGGATTTCAATTGGATATCTTTTTACACCTTATGGAAACAAATTCATTTCAACAGATGTCAATGAGATAAAATCCCATTTAGAAGAAAACAGATATTAAAGCACATTGGGAAACAACTCTTAAATCATCTCTTAAATGAATTAAATACTACATTTTGACAGTGACAAAATTTTGAAATTCAACAAATTTGTACACTTCACATGACTGCAGTAATTCTGCAAAATTGGACAAAAGTCCATCTTATTTCACAAATTAAGATCAGCATTTAAATAAAAGTACCACATCATTTGTTTTTGTTTTTTAAATGCACGTACCAAAAAACACCGTACCATAATTCTGACGTGATTGGTTACTGCAGGACTTAAAGGCATTCTGACAGTGTTACAAAGCAAGGAATAATAAAGAAGAGGGTTTGAAGAGACTGCATCTAAAAGTATGACACTCAATACCATTGTACAGCGTGTAAGGTTTAAAATAGTGCTGTTTATACAAGCCTGGGTCGGCATGTCGTCAGTACAAGCTACAAACAGACAAGATATGTTTTTACAGAGTGTTTCTAGTACGTCAAAAAAAAAAAAAAAAATTTTTTAATTTTTTTATATATATATATATATATAAAGGCATTTAAATTGTGCAGGGATGTAACTCAAGTGTACTGATGTGTTCTGATTAGCTTTGTTAAGTGCAGTACCGTCACATTAAACCTTGTGCTTTAAAATAAACCAGAATGCCAAGAGAAGGAAGGACAACAGTCTGTACCAAGAGCCGGCTCAAGAAGCAGAATGATATACAACAAATACTTTCATTTATAATACAAGTTCTCTTTGAATTTTTTTTTTTTTTTTTTGTGACCGATGGGCAAAAAAGACAAAAAGGTAATATTGGTTTTGTTGTTACATGTAGATGGTATATAAGGCAGAAAAAGCCAAACTCCATCTGATGTTTTTTTTTTTTGGATTAAAATGCCTTTAAATGAAAGTCTAAGAATAATTTCCATTCATACAGAGTAAGATTCAAATCCTTTAATTACCTTCACACTTGCAACCACACTGGCTCTGTCCACACCTTATATACAGTCTATGGTTAATCATGTATTTTTAAAGAAATCAATTTGCTCAAAAATCTGGAGAAAACGTACCCTCACACCTGTCGTTGTTGCACAAGTCACCTTCACTACGAATGTATCTGGATAGAAATGCTAGAAAACACCACTCTCTGACAGACATACTCTGAATATCTTTGCACAAATACACTTCACGCTTCACATTTAAATCAAATAAATATTAACTTCACAGAAAACGTCAACCCACTTCCAACCTCCCGCCTTCTCCCCCCATACAGCCCTGACTTGTTACACTCTCATTGTAAGGCGTCGTAGTTAAAAACATGCTTTGACAGCAGAGCTTGTCTTCAACTGTGTGGTCACTGATAAGACTGGCTTTTCCTCTTTTTTTGTTTTTCCCCGGCCAAGACCCCACTGTCAGGAATTTCAAGCAGAGAATGCAAACAGTGAAGGGAAAAGCCAGGAAATACAGCACAACACCTCAATAATACATGACACAGTGGCGTCAGCTGGGAAAAGATAGAAGGTCACTGGCGACTGCAGACGAGGAATACGAATAACGCTGCCTTCATATGTACAGTAAGTGCAGGAATCTCATGGGAATATGGCACTGGGGTTTTTTACCATCACAAACACAGACCATGTCCTCAGCTAACCTCTGAAACACACGTATGTCACCATAGGAAAACTTCTTCTCACCGTCAAGTGATATGTGCTGTCAGCTAAGATGAAAAAGGCAGATTCAGTGAAGATCAATTGCAATCTTCCACATGAGTAATGCCCAGCGATTGAGGTACTACAGTTCATTTACTAGCAGGCCGACCAGTACCAATAACATTGACCCTGGGTGATACATGAGTAGACCGTACCCGAGCTGTGCAGAGAAGACACTCTTGCATTGATGATGGATGCAGTGTGCTAAGCCATTCTCTGCTTTTGTTGTTTTGTTTAGTTTAGTTTTTTTCTCTCCAAGTCATGCACCGATAACATGCTTGGTCGCAGGTTTAAAGCGCTATCTGGAAAATGTATCACAGGCTGCAGTGATGAGAAAATCAGCACACTCAGAGACCAGAACCTTCCCTGCTCAGGCCCAACTCGCCCACGCTCTCATAGTCAGGCTCCGTCTTGGCAGCGTCTGACCCCTCTGCTCCCAGCCTGGCCCGGGGGTCACCGTCTGAGTCGTTAGTCTTTGGGATGCGAATGGTTTCGTAGCCTGGATCTGTGCTCTCCCTCAACTGGGGTTCGTCTGGCTGTGCGTAGATATCTCTGACGGTGGCGTAGAGGTCACTGGAGGAGGAGGCGGGGACCAGACCTTTGATCTCAGCGATGCTGCTGTAATCATGGTCCTTCTCCTCCTCCTGTAGAGCGCCGACATCTGCTGTTTTGTTGACTGTGGAGTAGACAGGACTCTGTAGCACAGAGAAGAGAGCCGTTATGTTCCCATGGTGACCCCATGGTGACAACAGGACCATCTCATGTACTCAGGTTTAGTCCAGGGTGTCCACAATTTTTTGGCTCTGGAGCTACTATTCAAATGACTCGAATCATATCGAATTTACTCATATAAACTAAACCTGTTTAGTTAAATGTTCAGTAAAAGATATCGAATTTACTCATATAAACTGAACCTGTTTAGTTAAATGTTCAGTAAAAAAATTACGAAAAGTATATTGTACAGCAACAGTATTTCTATGTATTATCACCTGTTTTTAAAGTAAAATGTAAAGTGGTAAATGTAAATGTGTGGAGACAGCAGACAAAGACAACAGGAAAAGCATATCAAGAGATCGCTGCTAGGATTTTCCTTCTGATTTTTGTTAATGTGTTGTAACTTTTTTTTACCTTTTTCCACATGATTTCTTCCAATTTTTTATCTTTTTTTTGGTACTTGAAGCATTGTCATTTGTGAGTTTAAAAGTGCTCCCATCATGGGACGCGACAAAGGCAGTTTGGGGAATAAGGGGTTTTAACAGACACTTACCTCATTGTTTGACAGAACGTGGTTGTCGAACCCTGGCGCGGGAGACAGAGGGGAGTGTAACTAGAGAATGAGAGAGAAGAACAAAAGGACTGATTTAGATATGGTGGAGAAAAGACTGAGAGTAGAATCAGATATTCCAACCTCTCCTGAGGCCAGACAGCGGCTGCTTACAGTCACTACAGGTGGCTTTTCAGACTCGTCTGAATGGAACTGTCACTGACATTTATCTTTAAGGATCTTGATGTTCACCGTCTGTCGCATTTCGGAGATTTTTTTGCACCAATTACTGCAGCGTTTTGTGCGACTGCAGTTCGCCAACATAAAAAACTATTGACCTAACGAACGATGCAAATGTCTGGGAGAGCGATCGATGATTCGAAACTTCAAAACAATTCCCAGCAGTGGGAGAAAAATCAAGCTCTGCATTTGCACTTTCTGCTGCCATACATATGGAGCTAATGTGGTAAATAACTACCCACTCATTTAGAAAATTATTGAGTGGAAGTCGATAGGCAGTGACAGGGAGTGTGATGCTTCCTTGCACAGTCTCCGTCCACTCGGTGGATGATCGATGGGAAAGACATTAATCAACAAAGCACATCTGGCAGCAGCTGAAAACACAGTGGGAGCCTAACAAGAACCTCCACACCCCAGTGTGTATTGACTGAATATTTCATATCACATATACATTTTAAACAGATTTCCTGAAGGGCTTCCTGTGTTGCTTTTTGACTTGGTGTCATTGTAGAATTCAGTTTAGGAAAAAACATGTTTAGACTAAACTATTTTATGATGATGAAATACAAGAAAAAAGGCAACAAACCCACACAGGTCACACACATCCAAAGCCCACTTACTCTACATCCCAGCCAAACTAAAACCAAATGTGAACTCTTTATTACAGTAATACCACGACATCATCCAGTAGTACTTTAAAGAGTACAAAATGGAGTATTGGCATTTGTGTATCACATTAGTGTTGGATATTGCAATATAAATTATTTATCTTGTGTACGGACTATAAATAGGATCTGTAGCAGGAAGTATAAATTAAAGAAGTTACATTGACTTCTAACGTCGATAAACATTTCCTGAACAGTTAACGGCCTCAGTCATTATTTCTTGGTCCTTTTCACTCCTACATGTCAACTCTGTACACGATGATCCCATTTGGAGGAAATGTTAAATTAACCTGAAACTAGTGATGGAGAGACCTGTTATTAAGGAAAATATTTAGCCAGGTTAAAAATGAAGTGAGTGACCTCGGTGTCCATTAATTATACATGGTCCTTAATGTCGTCCATAGTCCCTACAGTTATGTACAACTGTATGTACTGACCTCAGAATTGTGCATAAACGGAGTCTGGTTTAAATCATAATCTTTTGCCAAACAGCAGAAATAGATCTGTGATCAGCACAGGAAATAATAATTGCGTACTTACTTACTAAAGTGCAGCAGATGCCATTTTCATATTGCATTAATTAGCCAACCAATTAGGCAGAGTGGAGGCTGTGCGAAGCGTGGACGCAGGTGACCTCCACCTCCGTGTGCATCTCATAATATTTGTTCATCTAATTTGCTGCCTCCATTTTCCTGGCTGAGGAATCGGTGGTAATTAAAGATTTATTTCCCCTCAGAAAATCAGACTCAGCATTTAACACAGCACAACGCTGGGTTCTGAGGCATGTGACCTCCAGAGTCTGGTCTGAAAGAAAGCATATTCATCAATCTGCAGATTCATAATAGAATTATTATTATTATCTATTATAATTATATAATAGTATTTTTGTTGTGTGTCACTGTGAATTTGGTCTGTGGAAGGAGCAGTAATTAACTCAGCCTTAGGGAAATAATATGAAATATAATTGCTTGAAATATCTTCCTTTAGACCAGTGTTCCACATTTACATGCAGCGGCTCAACAGCGTCGATACATTTAATGTCACACACTGACCTGAAACACGTCTGCGCGGGTTCTTTCCCCGGTGGCCCCGTGGGCCTGGCTGGGGTCAAATTCATTTCCTGCACTTCTTATGACAGGCCCACAGGGGACACACACGGTCAAATAACTGAAACATCGTGTTGTTGTTGTTGTTGTTGCTGTTTAGGAAGGTTCAATAATGGTACAAGTGTACAGGATCGTTGACGACGTCAGTGAAAGGTCACAGAAAAAGGGCTGACGGAGTGTGGGTGGGAAGTGACGATGTGAATGGAAAGAAAAGCTGCATTTAAAAAAGAGTGTGTGTGTGTGTGTGTGTGTGTGTGTGTGCAGCACTTAAACAGTTGTTTCTGAGGGGACTTCCTCTCAGTCATTTACATACAGACATTTCAGCATATATGCTCCATGTTTGACTGTGCGTGTCCTTGTGTGTGTGTGTGTGTGTGTTGAACTTCCTGTCACCCTGTAACACAACAACATGCATGAAGCCAGACTAACTGTCGGAGTGATGGTGGCCAGCTGGTGCTCACAACACTCATTCAAACGCACAACATATTCATGCACACACACACACACACACACACACAGGCACAGAATAGACAAATCACTGACGGGTGCTGGTCATACCCAGGCGTAGACCACGGGGAGCCGCGAACGTTCAGCTTTAACCTTAAGTCAGCCCCAGGGAGCTTCTGTACAGCAATATACATGTAAACACACACATAGGTTGGTGCGTGTGTGTGTGTGTAATAACTGGGGGATGGGTGAATGGGTACGGGAGATATAACTGAATTAGTGCTGACTAGACACACACACACACACACACACACAGGTCCATGTGGGTGTGAATATGAATGAGTACATCTTTGCTTGTGTATCTGTGTGCTTCCCGTCGTTCAGCAGATCAGGATTTCATCACGCCACCGGGGTCAGACCAGTTCAGGTCGACCTGCTGTCCAAATGAGCTACAGCAGGTAAGTCATCGGGTGAAACAACGTGACAAACGCAGGGAGAAAAGGTCGAGGGGGAGGAAGGAGAAGAGGAGGTGAGAGGATACAGTCAAGAACTAATATATAGATAGAAACAGTATGTTTACCAATAATGGAGCGATACAGGATTAATGCTGCTGTGGCTAACTGTCAGCTCTTAATTCACACTATTTTAACTCATTTTTAAATTCATATTTATGTTGAAGTCCTTTTTAGCTACGTTTCAGCTTCACATTGACTAGAACGTATTGTTTCTGTTTTATTAAGATGTTTCACACAACATAATTAAATATGCTGAGCTATAAATGCTAAAGATGTTTGGCGTGTCATTTCTAAACCTACTTACTGGTCCTGTGTTCTTTAAAGGCAGTGTTTGATCTGGGAAATCCAAGTCAGGATTCAAAGAAAACAGAAGAAAAATCTGTTTCACATGAACAGATGGACAATCTAGTGTCTGTAGACAAATAAAAAGGATTAGTCCGTCAATCAGACGCTTGCATGCAAACAAATAATCAAACACCACTGGATCAGAGGTCTGAAAAGACAACAATAATCCTGTTCTGCACTGACACAGACCAGCTTTTCCAATATTTTCTCTTCTCTCTTTGAATTATTTTGGCTCCCACCTTAACTACATCTGGGACCAGAGCCAACGTCATGATGATGACAGCCAACGCTGCTTTGTGAGGCCACTTATTCAACAGCTGCACTCTGGGCAGAACGCTGCCACCGTCAGCACACGCTACACCAACACAACAACCATGGCAACGTGGTGATGAGCCTGGAGGCACTTCAGGGTAGAAGACAGATCACCAACGTCCCTGTAAATCACCCAAAGAGGGAGACGGACGGCAGCGCCGCCGTGACAGCACTGCCTGTAAACATTTTACCTGGCAACTGGTGTTTCAACTTCATGGTTAGACCTGGCAACTCTCCCCAGAGCAAACCAACAACCAACAGTCCATCAGTGGTTCTTCATGTGTTAGAGAGTGTGGAGCTCATGAATCTTTTTTTGGTGATTTTTTTCTTATTCCTCTTCTGGAGAACAACCAAGAAAAAAAATGTTGAAACTTGGAATAAAAACAACTTTTTAAATTAAAGTTTAGCAGCTATACATATGGAAAAATGGACTGTCAGCTGCAGTGGAAAATAAAAGGGGAGACAAAAAAAACATCTATTAAAGCCATATCTGAGGTGCAACAGGAAGCTGTCTTTATGAAAGAGTCTCTTGATCCAGGGCTTGTTTTTGTCTCATTTATCAACACCCTGGAGGATTCCCAACGTGAACTTCTAATTTACTCCACAGCGGTTTAGGATCTTTGATCAGGATAAATATCCAAGAACTTCATTTAAAATCTCAAGTTTCATTCTTATTGTTCCTATTTCTCAGCTGAAAACTGAGAAACATTTGCAGAAATGCTGTTAGAAAAGAGAAAATAGTTCAGAATCCACCTTAAAGTCACCACAGAAAAATCCATTTTCCCAGTTTAACCATGTTTTCAGATCCACCCTGAACTCTACACTGTCCAGAGTCATTATCCTGCCACCGCGACGTGATACTGAGGGAAGATCAACACATCAAGACAACGCTGAGAGGAGACGAGTGCAGAAAATAAGAAAATGTGTTTCTTTATGCAGTCGCCTTTGTAGCCCAGTGACAACGTGCCGTTTGTCTTCATGATCGTGTCAACAGAATGATGCAATCCCATTTGAACTCTGAGGGTGTGTGTGTGTGTGTGTGTGTGAACATGTGTCTGTGTGTCTAACTGATGAATCTCTGCATGAGGAAGACAACATACTGAGAGAAGGAGCAGGAGCAGCAGCAGCTTCAGCTTCAGCAGCAGCAGCAGCAGTGACACTGATCTGCTCCTCCTCTTGGTTTCACTTCCTTCACACTCATTTATTTTTACTGTTCTCCTCATCACTGTCTCCTCCTTCCTCCCCTCCAGTCCTTCTTCTTTCTTATCTTTTCCTGCCTCTCTCTCTCTCTCTCTCTCTCTCCTTATCACCACCACAGATGGCTTCATCTGTATGCCGACTGCTCCTTTCTTCCTCCGCTCCTTCCACCGTGGCTCTATCTCCCCGTCTCTCACTCTTGACTCTCATCAGCCTCACACTTCATGCCTCCCAGTCCTTTCTGAATAGTTTTGACTCAGTCCCTCCATCACACTATCTGTGATTCATCTATTACTCTCCTCTGCACTCTCCCCCACTCCTGCTCCTATTCTCACTCTGCTCCCCTCGCCTCTCTCCCACGCCGCTTTCTCTGTTCCTCTCTCAAATTTCTCCCCTCGCTCTGTCACTCTCCCTAAAGCAGCAGCGAGCTGGCAGCTTAGCACAGGATAATTATGTGGGAGAGATTGTACGTCGCCCATGTTCTATGTTCTTCATTGTCACGGGGGGTTCAGAGCATATGGCCAACCTTGAGGTTAGACGGGGATAAACAGGATTATGAGACATCGATAATTCTCTTCACTTGAGAGTGAGAGGGAGCAGATGTCTGGTTTCACAGAAATAAACTGGTCCCAGTGAAGTATGCACTCTGGCAAGTTTGGGAAAAACAAACAGAAGTTTGCAAAGTAAAAACTGATTTGTTATTCCACAACACAACTCACTGTGAGATAAATGACTTAACGTCAGGGCAAATGATCGGTTACTCCGAAAAAAAACATGATGTTACTACAGAATCTAACATAATGCTACTGTATTATTATCATCTAATGTTTTTCTGATCAGTAAATGTGTTCTAAGATGGAGATAAAGTAACTGTATCAATGATTTTGAACATGACAATAAAGGGTTAAAATTCCTACATCAACAGGTGTTGAGTTAAGACCAGTTATAAAAGTTCTGATTGGCAGTAAGAGATTCAGATCTTTCCTAAATAATATGTAAACAATGGGCTGTGTTGGTCCCAGTTCAGCCCACGACCCTGGAAGGACTAAGTCCATGACCTCTAACCTTTGTCCAGTGTCAGTTAGAACTGGCTCTGCCAACGTTGGTGTTAAACCTACAGGGTGCACTTGGGTTTTTTAACAACACCATATATTTTATCTGCTGCTTGGTTTTATTCTCCTCCAGGGGGCACACTCCAGGATGGATCACCAAAGTCCCTCTAACACACTCACACACTCACACACAGCCTCACCTCTCCATTGTGCAGCCCGGCTCCTGCCAGGCCATTCATCAGCACCGACTGGTTGTCGTTTTCATCCAGAACCTTCTTTGGTACCGGAGGAGGTTCGTCCTCCTCTGGTTCCTCCAGAGCCTTACAGGAAAGCAGGGCAGCGTTATCGGAGCGCCGCTTGGCCTCCATGTCTACGCTGTGGCGGCTCTTCTTATTGAGGTCAATGGAGGCGTACTCCACCCCTGCACACAGGGGAAGACGCTCAGGTGTGCTGGGGCTGAGGTGGCCATTGAGGAGGGCGGGGGGAGGAGGGCTGGCCTGGTCCAGGCTCAGCTGGGTGGTACCATTAGAGAGGCCGGGCTCGGCAGGGGGCAGGTCTTTGAGCTCCTTCACCGTTTCGTACAGAGAGTCTTCAACACTGACGTCACGTGAAGCCACTGCAATCTCCTTCACCACCTGGGATTACAGACATTAGAGAGCATGGATTATTTATAATTCACCAGGGATTGACTGTAGAGCAGAGCTAATGTATGGAGATATGGTCGACCATCAACCATGAAAAAGTATTACACACTATCTCTGTGTGACTTCATCAATCAGTGACTTCATCAATCAGCCAGCCAATCACTCATCACATGTATGTGCAGAGTGAAGTCCAGAGACAGCTCAAATCAGCACTTCAAACAGAGCTGTGGGGTCTCAAATGATTTGTAAAATACAGTTTCAGTCAGACTAGCAGAATAATTAATTTTTTTCTAATGTCATGTGAAGGTGTGTCTGTGTTTACACTTAAGGCTCAATCAATCAATTAACCAACTAATCAATCACTGGGTCGACCAGCCAGGAAATCAAAGCTGTAATCTGCTGCACAGCCACGTTCCAACCGTGTGTTTGCATTGTTTTGAAGTGACTTTAAACACTGACCTCGTAGGTGCTGTCTCCTGTGGCTGGGGGGCCGTCCCCCAGGAGGGCGTTGTTGGGAGGGATGCTAGGAAGCTCACGATCCTGAGGACACTTGGAGGACCTGAGCTCTGATTGGCTGGAGAGCAGCTCCTCTGAGGGCTGCGGACTGTCCAACGTGTCTGTGAGGACTGGAGGAGCAGAAAACAGCACAAGGTTTTTATGGTCTTTTACGTCAACATAGTTTTGTTATGACTCATTGATTCCCCCTTTTTTACGATGGCATTTAAGAATATGATTTAATCTATTACAATATTTTCCATGTAGGTGAAAGGAGCATGACTAACAACATTACACAGATATGCCCAGAGCACAGCAACAGCTGAGGTCCAAACCTTGGCGTAACAGCAGCTGCCAAGCAAATGTTGTTGCCAGGCAGCTACATTTATAAAGAGAATAAAGAGCAGAAACATGTCGCACAGATTCTGAGTCCAAAAATGTTAAGATCGAAACCATAAGAACCAAAAATAAGCAGGAGTCTTACTTGTACCGCTGGTTAAAGGACCGTTGTGAGAGCTGCTGACGGCCACATCAGTGGCTGGGCTCTCTGCTGATTGGCTGACGGTGTCTTTCTCTGACACCTGCACAACAAAAGACGAGACATGAGTCACTGCAGCGGTCGGGGGACGTCCTTGTACATGAAAAAAAGAAAAAAGAACCCTCCAGTCCCGGGTCATTTCAATATCAAGTCGTTTGAACAAATGTTGGAATGTGTTTGACTCCTGGAGGCAACAGAAATCAATCTGCACTTGTTAGATTTCGTAGCTCGGTGCAATCCCAAAACCACTGGCAGCAGTTTTGGAAGAAGGAAATTGTTTCCTGGATCTTTAGAGAATTAAGGAGGAAACATGAGTTATAATTGCACCACTGATTACAGTTTCCACTCTCCTGGTTTTTTTTTTTTTAATTTAGGGTTTTCCAATCCCATTAGTGTTCAATTTAAATGTATTATCAGCATCTGAGATTTAACAAACCAGTGTTTTTTTCCTCAATGGGGAAATATATTTTAAAATGTAGGAAAGTGTAAAAAACAACTGTGGAAAAAAAATCTGAGTTCAGCTGCATCTCAAGTTCACCAGAAAACCTCTTGGGGGTTTAGAGTTATTCTGATGAGAGAAAAAAAAAATGCGACCAAAAGTATAAGCTCCTCAAGGGATGTTTCATTTTAAAACTTATTAGCTCTGTGGGAAGGACCCATATATTTTCAGATATCCTCAGTGGACATAGAAGGAAACACAACAGTTACTTCTCCTTCCCTAAGGTCTCACAACACAGTCTGGCATCAAACAGGTTTTCAGCTGCACATGTGTGTTTCAGGATTTTTATATTCACTTTTTAGACAACAGACAATTCAATTCAAAAAATAACCTGAAGGCAAACACTTGGAAATGTTTTATGTGGCATTTGACCTGAAAAAAAAAAGGAAATTAAAGAAAATTGAAGCTATTCCTTAGCAAAGTTCTGGCAATTTTCTTTTTGGCTGGTGTACTCTTAAGAGGTAGTTTTATGATATATTCTTGTGCCTAGTTGGTCTAGCTATTTTGTTGTTGTTGTTTTTTTAATTATATTTTCCTAGTTTGCCTCTGGGTTTATTAAAGTACACTCCATCTGATCCTGAACTTTAGTGCCCTACGTTTAAACATCATTCCACACATCATTTTCATCCATTTGTATTTTTTATTTGAATAACCCGTGGCCATTCTAAGGTTTCATTTAAGTTTATCTTGATAACTTTTTAACCTACTTTGCATAAGATTTGCATTTTACAGGTCAGACACTTCTAGGATAGGCTTCAGTGATCTTTCAGTGATCTTATTAGAGCTAACTTTAAGCTGACAGCAACATGTATATTTTTAATTATGCATGTTTTCCAACTAAACTTTTATTTGCCTTATTTGACCTGAAATGTACAACAAAAGCTACAATTGACAAGTTACTGCAGGATTCGGTGTTGCTAGAAGGCACATCGATGTCTTTTCCTTGTTTTTCTGCGTTACATAATAACTACCGTAGCTGTAATTAATGTGTTAATACTAAAAAGTGAACCATATCGATTTAATCAGCCTCCACAGAGTTGAATCAGTTGAAGTAGGCAAATACTTACATAAACACACCCATCAACCCCGAAAAACCTGACAAAATACCAACGCTGTTAATCTTAGCTACGTGCCTGCTGGATTCGGACATGATTTATGACCTAACTTCACAAACAAACACGGTGTAATTTCCCAAAGTAAATGTGTAACGCTGTCTTTCGGCACTACTTACAATCAATAAACCCTGAAAACAAGCGAAAATGTCGTTACTTTTAACTGCCTTTGTTCAGGTTTGTTGTTTTCAACCTCTTAGCCGCAGCAACGCTGTGTAGTGAAGAACCCACACCTCCACCTAGTGGCCATTTACCCTCACAACAGTGGATGACTGATGATGTAATCTTTAACTTTTTCATTACCAAAGTATTTGTTTGAAAAATGTCTTTAGTTTCTGAGCATCGTCTACGTTTAATATAATGTAATGAATAAAATACATACATAAATGTAGCCTGTAGGAGTTCTTTAAATAACCCGTAATTAGCTGTACATGTTAAGATAAAGGTCTAACGAGCTGTGTGACTGAATACGAGGTGAGGGAGCAGGTGACTAGATGTCCTTTTATGGTCTGAGGACATGTCCTCAGAGGGACAGAATCATTGTGACTTAGTGAGTAGGAGTCGATCTGGTCACCCCTGAGACAAAGAACCCGTTTAACCTCACAGACTGTGACACGGTTCGTCCTATAAACGACCATCACGTCCTGAAACGACCCTTACCTGACGGTGTCACGTTGATAACGATGCATAAAGGTGACAGTGAAGGAATCCATCAGAGCATGAATCTAATGTGTTAGTGATAACTGCACACCAAGGACACGTCGTTTCTTAGTTACTGTAATCAGTTAAAATGATACTATTCTATTAAGACTTGCGGTCGGTTGTTTGGTTTTTGCTCCGCCAACAACAAGTTCCGGCCAAACGTTTGCACGCCACGCAAATTGCCTCACGTTTTGGCGGGAACTTGTCGATGAGTTGTAATTACCCTTTTCAGTCAGCAGAGGACGTGACCGGCAGACAAACCGGAACTTGTTGTATGTATAAAGAAAATAGATATCTTTGGATAGAAGAAAATCAAATAAAAGAAAATGAAATAATGACAAATAATGATAATACTGATATAAAAACAGGTAACATCTTAACCTTTAATACTTTTTCTACCTTTACAACTACATATTGATTCAAATGGATTCATATTGATTTAAAAGTAGTTTTAGTTTTTTTGGGGGAAAGAAAGATTGTACTCACTCCGTTCATGAGATTGTCGTGGTCTCCTGTAGGATGTCCATTGATTGCTTTCTTCTGCCTGAAGGAATTGAGTGAGGCAGGAAGAGAAGGGTTAAAAAACAAACAAAAATAATGTGTGATAAATATTTATCATTATCATCATTGTTTTGTATAGAGATAGGTACATGTTTAAAACTGAAATATGTAAATGTTATGGGGAAATTGACTGGAGAAATGGAAGGAGAAGAAAGGAAGACAAATGAAAGGACAGGAACATTCAGGACATTCTATGAAAGTAAAGTTAATGTAAGGACTGACAGCCAGCATTGATTTCTCAGAACGGTTTATGGTCTAAAGAAAACAAAAATGAATTCCATTAATAGATCAACCATTTACATTCACAGCAGTTTTGACCTCTGAAATAACAAGTAATCTGATTATGTCTAATCAAACCGCCTTGACCTTTGCTAGTTCTAGTCTTTCCAAAACCAATAATCGTTGCTGCTGATGCATAGCTTCGTCTGTGCGTGTGTGTTTGTGTGTGTGTGTGTGTGTGATGCTCACCCATGGCAGCTAGCACACAGCAGCAGCAGCACAGAGACCAGCAGCAGGACAGTGAGGACGCTCAGAGTCAGGACCAGGATCAGCTGCTCACTGCCGAGCCACGACGCCACCCCCGTAGCTGCCGCCGCTCCCGACCCCACGATACCTGCCTCTGGCCCCCACCACACTCCACTCAGCACTGGAGCCATGACGCATCACAGTGATGGAGGAGAGAACATGGGACTGGAGCTAGCTGAGGAGACAAGAGATGGAGAAGGAAGAGAGAACGAGAGTCAAACAGACATGTGATGATTAGAAATGACAATAAAGTAAAAATGGATTCATCTTTCAGTGGATAACTAGGACGTAGTTCACAGTAGGACACAGTTCAACTTTCAGTGCTTTATCCTGCAGACAAACTAAAATAAGATGATTTGAACGCAGCACAACATTTTGTCCAATCACATCATTTTATTTTTAACCTGACACATTAAAAAAGAAGAGGATTTTTTTTTTGCATTTCTCCTATTTAGGTCATTAAAAAAGAAGAGGATTTTTTTTTGCATTTCTCCTATTTAGGTTGAGAGGTTAAAAATATTTTCATTAAATGGTTGTTCAACCGGTTTCAATCACGACCAGGAGGTGGCAGCACATAGCAGAGTCAGACTGCACTGCAGACAGAGCCCAGCCTCAGTGTTCTGCAGTGGCCCTCAGACCAGAGCCTCCACAGCTGGTGTCTGGACTCTTCACACACACACAACATAAGAAACCTCCTCACGTCGGAGTCTAACAGGGACAGTTGTGTTTCCCTGAACTGCTGCATCCTTGTTGTTATGACAGCTCTGCATCTATGAGTGTGTGGGGCCTCGTGGTGGGTGAGTCAGGCTGGGGACGGGACTGTGAGGGTAGTGAGGTTTTGTGTTTTTAGCTAATCTGGTCAAACGAGTATGTAAACTAAATGTGTCAGTAGAGAACCACAGGGACTATGATGGAGAAATGTGAGATTTTTCTGACCTACATTGAACTACCTTAATTTTATTAGTCACTTTCCTCAGAGCTGACACAGTCCAGCTTCCTCCTCACTGTGTTCTCAGAACTGCCTGGTATGCCTGGGGTGAGAAACACTCCTATGCTAATGAAGCTTGGGAAAGTGGAAGCTAAAAAAGAGCTACAAGCAAAAGAGGGTTGTTTTGAATAAGAGGAAGTTACAGAAACTGCACTGCAACACGAGAACACAGACGGTCAGAGGCTAACAGCAGCTAGCCTTGACTCAAAGGACTGTGGTCGGTTGGTTGTTCAAAAATGAAACCATTCCTAGGGGTCATACGACAAGGTCAGGGGACACCCTGGACTGTCCACTAGTCCATCAGAGAACAACATATAGAGACAACCAACCAACCATTCACACTCCAACCTGTGCTGTGGTGAATACCGACTCAGTGTACCAGGAGAGTACCTGGAGAAAACACTCTGCACAAACACTCAGGACAAGACAGGTCACCACAGGAGTTTGAGCCAGTGACTTTCTAGCTGTAAGGTAAGAGCACTAACCACCAATCTACCATGTGGCCTGAGGAAACATTATTGGTGAAAAAACACAATTACTGCATCCTAACCTCCAAATACTACTACAATAAGTTAAAGAAAGAATGATCAGTAAAAGAAGCTAACAATTAGCCACAACAGCTAAAACATGATCCACAATAGCACAGGTTAAATGACTAAAAGTTTGCTAAAGAAAATTATTAAAGAAAACAAAACATTAAGAAACGTGTAAAAAGGTGTGTCTGTCATTGAAGTACAGGCTGGAAGGGTGTGAAAATATCACGGGAGTCTGTCAAAAACACACATGTAGACACACTAACACACACATTATTGGCCGGTCGGTGCATGTAACTGAGAGGAGCACTAGCTGATGACATCATCAGTGTATCATATGACATCTAGTGTATTCACTACACTCCTTATGGGTATGAATACTACAGTAGAGTCTCTAACTGTGTCAGTCTGACTGTTAAAACTATAAATACTCCAGTCCAGAGACTCTCTTGTTCAACTGTGACCACCTCATCATTAGTTGTCACCTGATTAACCATGTGATCAAAGCACTAACTTCTCAAAAATTCAACACCTGCTTTCATGTTAGCAGCTCATACCCAGGTGCCCCCCTTTGCCTCAGTGTGTCAGCTCCTGTTCGTCTCCTGTGACACTTAAATCACAATAATTACTCGCTGCCACAGCACTGTCACCATGGAAACCGTCCCTTCTCTCCGTCACTGCTATTTATGGCAGTAGAGAAAAACAAAAATTTTAAAGAAGAGACATGTTTTGCACAGGAATGTATGCTGGAGAATAAAAACATGGCAAAACATTATTTTGGGGGGGAGTTCTGCTGGCCAGCAGTGGTACTGCACCCAGTAGTACCATGTATTGGTGTGGTTTAAAAGGACAATTATAGAGAATGCTATTACTTTTATTACACAGTCATTGTGGATGTGTTTGAAGTGGGAGAACATTTTTGCACTTTTGCAAGGCAGCCTACAGGGCAGCTTTGGTACTGCAACAAGACATTAATTTTGGTAGAAGTGAAAAGATTAATCAATAAATCGAATCAAATGATTAAATTACACAGTTATATTTTTTCTAAATTGTATCTTTACATATTTACAGCGAAAACATTCATGGAAATGTGACAATCTCTAAAACCTCTCTTGAACCAATTAGCAGAGGAGATACCGATCTTTTCATGTGAAATTTTACAAAAGCAGAGCTTCCAGCATGACTGAGCTGCAACACTACATTTGAGCTTTAATTAAGACGGACAGAATGTTTGTTACAGTGAGGCCAGCTTCACTGCACTGCTGCCCTTTTTCATTCCACAGTGCTGTGCATCATCCCTACATTCCTACATACTCACTCCAATGGTATGAAGACCTGTTAAGTACAAACACAGATCCGTCTCTGGGTAGGATTTCTGACACACCTCCGAGCTGAGGAGAAAGTATGTGGAGTAAAAACATCCATTTTCCCTGCATGCGAGGAGGAGGAAGAGGAGGAGATCCTTCATTCCTGAACACCACACAGAGAATCTCAGTGGAAAACTCCGCACAGATCTTCACCACGTGACTCAGGACCGCGGCCAAAGACTACAACTGCTGTCATTCTCTTTATCCTCGGCACTTTCAGGCTCTGATGAAAGAAAACAGATGCCCTGGAGGCGAGACAATCAGTGCGACTGTCTTCTGATTCAAGACGCATAATAAGTGTTTGGGAAAGACATTGGAAAAGGAATGTGTTTGGAGAGCTGGGAGAACGGCCGAAAACCAAACTCTGCCCTCGACCAGCTGAATACACACACACACACACACAGAGACTGGATACAAACCACAAGCCCAATCAAAGCATAACAAACCAAGCTGCAGCCAAGGAGAGCAGGAATCCAGGCCCAGCTTCTACCTGACACTGAGACGAGGCACACCAGCGTACAGGGACAAGCTGTTGCACAGCAGTGACACACAGTCAGGAGGAGGCAAACGGATGCCTGGGAATCCTGCAGATTCTCTCATCACTGTTTGACATCTCCTTCTGCAGGATCCCGAGGGAGCACGAGAGCTTTACAGCCAGAGGGCTGAGCAGAAATGAGCTCCAGGAAGCTTCTCACGAGGAGCCGCAGGTATTTCCACCATAATAAATATCACTTTTTTTAAAGGAAAGCAGGAAGAGTTTCAACTTTTATGAAGTTGCAGGAAAAAGTCAGAGTAACACTTTTTTAAAAAGATAAAAGGCTTGAAGAGAGGAGAAAGTGATGACAGGACTGAATATAAAGTACAGTAACAGGAAGTTTGGCTTCACCCTCACAGAGGAGTTGGGAAAGTTGAAGAAACACATTATATGCAAAGCTGTGCTTGCAAAAAAAAAACGTACTGCTGTACTACATTGTTACCACAGTATATGCAATATTGCATTTTGTAGTGGAAAAAGCTAGACAAATACTACTCTGTAGCCGAGAGAAAAGACCAAGACTAATATATTATTCAGTCGTATAAAACAGAACAAATCAGGAAAGGTCAGAAGGACTGTTTGAAATCGTTTTTTTCCCCCATTTCCACTGGTTAGGTCTTAGACAATTTTTTTTTTTCCCATTTCCACTGGTTAGGTCTTAGACAGAGCAGCAGTGACCGTCTTTTGTCCTGACCTCAGGGTCAGATGCACGGTGGGGGATGGGTGGAATGGAGGAAGGGGGCAACTAGAAATGAAGCCCCGCTGCCATTAGAGCAACAGAGGAGAGGAGAAAAATCAAGAGGAGGACGGTTTTGGGGAGAAAGGGACGACAGGGAGCTGTGAAGATGAAAAAGGGACGAAGAAAAGATAAAACAGAGAGACAGAGAGAGAGAGAGAGAGACAGAGAGAGAGAGAGAGAGGGTATACAGCATGAACATAGATCTGTCGTTACAAACATCCCATGGGAATCTTAATTAAATACAAATCTCTTCAGACTTCAGTCTTAACTGAAACAACAGATGCATTTACATGAGCTCCGTGTCTTTAATCTAAATGGAATCATCAGCAGACACAGAACAACTCTGTTGTTCATACAGAGTCACATGATCAGGTCCATGAACACAGCATCAAATCAGAACGAGCCACAGGATCATGGACTGATCTGATCTACACACTGTTATATCATCATGGTATTTTGTGAGCTGTTGCCTCTGACTGTCCTTCACTTTGGAGTCTACTTAAGAGAGAGGCTGAAATGAGAGATTCTGATGAGCAGCCACAGAGGCATTAAATGTCCATATGCACTGCTATGATCAGCAAAATTGTTGATAAAATGATAAATTACTTCTACTAATGGGCCTTCTAAGATCTGACTGATCTGATTGGTGGGTTGACATGAAGCTTGAATCAGGCCATTATTTCTGATGTAATGCTGGCTGTGCTTGCACACGGAGCGAACGTGATCAGATAGGATGTTGTACAAGAACTCCTATTGGTTGAATTTGATGGATCGCTGCATTAAAGGAACCTGCAGTCAGACCCAACCTGAGGAATGTGAACGTGTGTGTGTGTGTGTTAAACAGCCGCACTACGTGGAGTGTTGTCATCACTAATAATCGTCTCGGTGTGTTACTGCGTCTCCGCCAAGACACCAGGAGGAAAACAAGTGCCTTAGAGCAAGGGACATAATTCAAGTTGCCGTAGCAACCCTGCCCATCCTCAGGGTTAATGGTTTTAGCATGAGAAATTGATCTTTTCTCCCTAAATGGGGAACTTGAAACTGCATAATTTAGCGAAGCTCTCAGTCTCCCTCCACCCCCGTCTCCCCCCTCACTATCCACTCGCTCATTTTACTGATATCAGGGTTTTATATTCAGCAGCCTCCATATTAAACTCCCACTGGGAGAATTATGGAGGAAATATGAGGCATTTCTCTGAAGCAGATAAATATCTCCTCGCCTCAGTTTCTTCTTCTTCTTCTTCCTCAGACACAATAGGTCTGTAACCAGAAACCTTCTGTTTCATGAAAACAAGATATCAGTGTGTGTTTACGATCTCTGTTCACGGCCTAAAGGGTGATTCTACCCTTTTTTTTAATGTATTTAGAAGCCAAGAAGACAGTTTTTCAAGGGTTTTTCTGAGGCTGACACTTCTGGTTATATCGGTTTTGAATTTAAATTCTAGTCTGAATCCAAAGCAGTGGAAGCAACAACATGTGTCCTCTGTCACCATAAATGACTCCAGTGTCACACAAACAACGTGTGTGTCTGTGTGTGTGTGCATGTACGGCTCATGTAGACGTGCATGTTTCTGCCTCTGCCTCTGGTTAATGTGAAACAAGTCCCATGAGAAAACAACTTCCTGTCGAGTGTTCCGCCGACACTGATGACCCTTAAATCTTCGGAGGCCCACAGATGTTTCTCCTAAAGTGCAGCCGGAGGAGCAGGAAGTAACGAGTGGATTTAAACTAGACTTTTTACAAAGCTGCAACCTAAATGATGTTCAGGAACCACTGGTGTTCTGTTTCTGCCACTGCAGCTCTCAAAGATGTCATTTTACTGAGTAAAGAACATTTGGAACAACACTTACTCTGTTAATGCTTCTTCTGCCTCCTCCTCCTCATTGTTTTTATTCATCAGCGTTAGCATCACCAGAGCCCGAGGCTTTAACTCTGCATTCAAATGATTTGATTGAACCACAGATAAAACCAGCAGGTTCACTCACAACATTTCAGACTTTCAGTTCCTGTTCTGTCTTAATGTAAAAAGGGAAGACAACCGTATTTAGATTCTTACACTTTCTTCTTTTTTTAAGTCCACCAAACTGAACTGAATCATGTCGAGGAGTGCACTACTGCAAACAAAGACATTCTATTGGTCTTTTTACAAAGTTTTGTAGACATTTGTGTTTTAAATAAATCCCTGGGTGTACAGCACCACAGCAGTGGAAACAATTCCCACTCACTCCATTAAAAGACCTAATGTTTTTACCCTATTGTTATTCAGGCAAAAACCAATTCAGATTCAACAGACTGAGATAACGTTCCAGACCAGATGATTTATCTTCCATCAATTTATTCTCCGTCACGAAGCTTTTTAATTCTTACTAAAATCCTGTCATTGTCTCCGACTGATTAGTCAGACTGACTGACTTCTGCAGCGGAGACAATTTACAGAGACAAAAACAAAGCCGTCACAGCATGTAAATCTGTACGAGTCAATAGTTGAACTATGAATGTACTGACAAGGCTACGACAGAGCCGCATATACATATATATATATACACTATATGTGTGTGTGGGGGGGGGGCAGGGGATTCTTTTATTGTGTCTGTCTTATTGTCTTCTGATTTCTGAACTGATTCAAATGAGACGCCTTTTTAAAAAGAGGGAAATTGAATATTATCGAGGCAGACTAACACAGACGGAGTCCACGATTAGATTCATCCAACGACGTGCATGAAATTCTTCTATTACTGTCACCTTGACATGAAGACCAGTATTTGAGTGAATGAGCAGCAGAAACCACCACATCTTTGTTCAGGGGCAACAGCGTCTACATGTTGAATAGCCACCAGGATAAAGGGATTATCAGGGGAGATGGAAGAGGAGAAGGGCGGTGTGTGTGTGTGTGTGTGTGTGTGTGTGTACTGTAAGCCACCAAGGTAATTCATTGTAAAAGCTGCTAATGAGATGCAACAAATTCCTGGACGGACCTGATCTCCACAGCTATGGTGACAGAAGAGAAAACGACAACAGACTGTTTTGTTGTGTCCAAACCAACACACACACACACACACCTTTGAGCTGTTCAGGCTGCAGACCCAGGACGCTGCTCTGAAATTGCCACGCGGTGCTTCATTTATCTCCTTCTCCTTTGACACCAGCCTTTTGGACAAAAGGCCAAAGGCTACGGAGGGAATTAATAGAAGTGTGAGTGTGTGTGTGTCGGCGCAGGCGTGTGTGTGTGTGTGTGAGGAGATGAGCAGCACAAATAGAAACATGATCCATCTTTACAAGGCTCAAAGCACAGCGAGGGTGACATTATTGGACAACCCAGACAGCAGGGACATGCAGGGGGTCAAATCCTTCCAATCCCCTCAAACCTCAGGCTGGATGAGACAAAGCAGAGCCGCCGAGTTGTTTTTGACAAGTAAAGGTTAGAGGAGAGTGAGGAATTAAAACTGCAGAGGCAGAGGGACGCTGAGACCTGCTGACCTTTTGTTGGGAGCTGTTTCTCCAACACGATTCTTCAGCCTGGCTTTGTTAAATATCACACACAAACACACAAACACACAAACACACAAACACGCTCCGAGACCAACTTCACCTCCTTCGTATTCTGTTTTCACCTCTCCTCATTTCGTTCCTGTTAAGCCTCAACCGTCTCCAGACCATGGCAACATGTCTGCCTGCCCACAAATATATGGTAAAATATGGAGGCCTGCCGGGAAGTGAAAGGCCACATCCAGCATCAGGGGCTGGGAGGGAGAGGGGGGCGGGGGGGGATGGATGGTCTGTGTGTCTGCTGGAGGGAGGCAGGGGGTTAACAGCAAAAAAAAATAAAAAATAATAGCAACCCTTCCAAAAGCAAGCTGGAGGAGGAAGGGAAGGATGCTCGGAGGCAGTGGACTCTTCAGACAGACAATCTTCACATTTCTGTATCAGTCCGTCCAACAGCACACGCCTGAGTGACTGTGGAGACTGCAGCAGCAGAAACAGCCCTGCTGCCTCCATGTCTTCTTCTAAATTCTATCTGATTCATCATCTCAGAGACTGAAGGTTTGATGTTGTTCTTAGCCTCCCCACAACTGAAGCCAAGCTAAAAAAAAATATGGTCAGAGAGCTGAGAATGTCAGGTGTGTTTGGATTTGAACTTGTGCTAGACTCAACCTCAAACTCATTATATATGTGCTATATATATAATAATAATAATAATAATATAATCTACTGTTCATGTATGCCTATAATTACATTATAATTATATGATTACATATATAGAGCTACATTTAATAAATGTATATTTACATACTGCATACTGTATAATATAGTACATACACACATACAGTATATATATATATATTAAATATACACTACAGCATGAGCATAAGCCATAAACTGACTCACTATCAAACACCAGGTGCTCCTTTATTAGGTGATATATGGCTTGACCTTTCTATCAATGATATGCTGATTGACGTCATACTGTTTTTGTATTTATGGTTTGAAAATCGGTGTCATTTTAGAAAACTTCTATAAGAATTCCTCCAGAACCACCAGTTTAAATCAGGACTAACAGAGACCAGCTCAGTATTTGATGAGCCTCGTCGCTCTGATCCCTCTGCATTACTGCCTTATCACTGTCATCAGCTGCTGGAAGGGCACAGAGTAATTATTCACCGCCGACACAGTTTTACTACCACAGTATAAGGACATAAACCTGCATCACATCAGGGTGAAAAGCTCCTTTATCGACAACCTCCAACAGCTACACATAAACAGGCCCATAAATCATGCACACATCTACGACGTGGACGCATATTTATCTGCAGCCGCAGCGGCTGTAACAGCCGTCCTCAAATCAGTAGATGCCACTGGCTCAGTGTGTCCTGAGGGAGAGGAGAGAAAACCAAATGAACCAACTGCATGTGCATCAGAGCAACAAACAGACTGTGGGCCTGTGGCGGAAAATCTGCTGTCACTCACACACACACACACACAGAGTCAGTGGTTTGGGCATTAAGCTACCATGAGAAATGGACACGCGTGGACGCACATAATTATCCATTTTGAGAAGAACCAATTAGCAGGTGACAGACATCAGTCTGACAGAGCGACGGAGGCCGAAGGAAGAAGAACAGAGTGGAGAACAGTCTCAGTGACACTCTGAAGAAAGCTGAGGCAGCCACGGGCAAACCTATTCTGTCAGAGGGGATGGATAGTGGTGCAAAATGTGGGGCAGACAAAGGTGACCCTCCATAATAGCACTCACAGGCAGATAAAGAGGAGCAGAGAACCACTTTAACACTGGAGTCAGAAAATATGCTTTTTATAGAGGGCAAAGAAAAGGTAATTGTCTCATTTCCATGGCCAGGAGGAGAGCACGTCTCTGTAGAACCTGTGACTAAACAGGAAACAATTAGAATTTGACCAATGATGTCACTTGGAGTTTGCAGCAGAGTGTAATAAAAATCTAATGGTCAATTTTTTATTTTTCCTCCTTGAGCTGAATTGATTTCAAAAACCCTTTTTAGTGTTAATTCCATGAAGTTTTAAAATAGATTTAAAGTGGTTTAAAACGTAAATAAATATAAATATATAAAGTCATACTCAAGGCTGCCTGAAATAAATATTAATCAGGTATTGTGTTTCAATCGATGCTGATTATGTGAGTCTAGTCTCGAGTCACCTGACCTCTGAGTAGAGGACGACTGTCCTGATGGTGGGTTTAGAAAAGGTTTCACATCAACATAGATCTACAGATGGGGAATATTTCTTTATATTAACGCCTTTAACGACACCTCCAAACCAGTCACATGACTGCAGACACTCCCTTCACACACACTGAGCTGGGATGTCCCTTCAGTGGACTCAGGCCTCAGCCATAATTCCATTCAGTCCTACAGACCCTGACGGCTGTTTTGATAATAAAAGTCTGATTTAATCTCAGTGCATCAGTCCACCAAACCCACCGTCAGCTGATGTGACCTGACATGCAGCAACAACACTCTGGACTCTCGGAGATGATGGACGTGAAGTCATCGTCCATTATGAATCCGACATGATAACCACAGGCGGAGCTTTTAGGAACAGACGGTAACAAGATTAGCGCTCTGTGCAACATGTTTCCACCAGACACAGGAAGTCAACCAGCTCCTCCAAATCAAGAGCCGTTACATTACAGCGGCGGTAAATGAGCTCACCCACACTCATGTGAGACCATTAGTAAAGCCCTGGGCACTCTCACACTCTCACACACACACACACACACACACACACTCAGTCCAGTCTATTGAAGTACTAATGACCCTGCTGCTTTCATCACATCTGAAATGTCTGACATCACAGTACACTGGTGATGAACCTGTCTTTATGGCTGCATCACAGATGTGTTCTCTGGAGTCCAGCCACCCACTCACAGTCACCCAGAGTCCAGTGGACTTTGTACTGACATAAAAGACATCGCTCATGATTGATGTTGATAATCCACACCCAGATTATGGTAGATTGAACTCATTACTCCCACACCCTACTGACTCAAACACAGCCCAAACTTCTTGGAATTGAACTCACTCTGGGTTGATTGTACAACAGTGTGACAACATTTTGCATTAATATGCAAAACCCCAGACTGGAGCATGTGTCGTTTATTTCTAATCTGCAGATTATGTGGGGAACAGAAAAGGCAAACACTTCACCACACGCTCAGGAAAAAAAAATCTATTAAAAAGCCTGGCTTCACAGAGAGAGGGCTGCAGATTTTAAGCTGCTTAGATGCAAAAAAAAATAAAAATAAGGCAAATGCAACCTTTGCAACTTCCAGTGACAAATGTGTGGAGTAAGATTTCCTGGAAATCTCCATTACGGTCGGCTGAGAAGCAGCGCTCGGAGCAGGTGCACAGGCCAGGAGCAGAATGACCAATGGAACTGTAGGGGAGACGAGGGGTTTTAATGAATCAGCACAGATCATACATCACGGAGCTGCTGGAGCATCAAATGTTACACACAGACAGTTATAGCTCCATAAGTCCTCCTGACGGAGTCGGCATTTACCTGTGCTTTACAGTGATATTCCAACATCTACATCTGGAGTTTTATGATCTTCATGGAGTAATCTAACGTGATGTCATGTATTTTTTGTATGTATTGTGGAAAAATGAGAAAATGACTCATTGTATGAAGAGTGAGTGCAGTAACACAGACTGTCTCTGTGTTAGAGTGTAAACAGGCCAAATGTTACGATCCACACATTTCCACAACCATCTGTGCGCACATACA